GTCCTACTTAATGCCCCTTCCCTGGCCACCCTACCCTGCTTTCATCACTTCTCTCCTCCTCAAAACTTTTCACAGGTTCTTCACTGCCTAATGGGATAAAAATCCAAATTTCAAGGCCTTCAAATCCAACTGCAGCCGCCTTCTCAACTTTTTTTCCTGTTTCCTCAAACCTTCTGAGCCAATTTAGACTTGCTGGGTCTTTGCCCAAAAGGACGTAATTCATAGGCTATGTCCACCATAGTGCCTTGATTCCTGCTGCTGCTTTGTTCCCTCAAAAGGTGCTCTTTCCTATCAGCTTCTCCCTATCCTTAAAAATCCCACTTACTCCAGGAAGTTTCCCCAGACCACTCCAACCTTCCAGGTTCTCTTCTTCCTTTATATGCAATTTGCATTCAGTCACCCATTGCCTAGGGCATCTAGCATCATTCCTAGGATTATATGTTTAATTTTCAGGTACAGATGCCCCTTGTAGATAAGTCTCCTCAAAACAAGATGTCTCTCTATCAGCCTTAACACAACTGGATGTGTATACTAAGTATGCAACACATTTCTTGAATACATTCAACTTTTTATTTTGAAAAATTTCAAGCATACAATAATATATATTTTGAACTAGAAAGAGTGAGGTAGTTTTTCTTGTATTCTCAGCACCTACAACAGTGCCTGTTTCACTGTAATTATATGAATGTATGTAATTCATGAATGAGAGCATGCATGAACTTGAACATGGTGGAAGGGGAACAGGCCCATGGGTCCATCAGTGTTCTAACTCCAGTTGAGCTAACTGGTCAGAGACTGCAATGTATCAACACAGAATTCCGGCACGACTTTGTTCTTACATGAGTGAGGGTCTCAGAATTGTAAGCTTCCATTGCTTCATGTTCAAGTTCATTCTCACAGTGAACCATTTCAATAAAACCTACTAAATTTTCCTCTGAGGTCACTAAATTTATTTGGGTATTGAGGTAATTAACTTTCATAACACTGTACGAAGGTACCATCACTAAGAAGATATCTAAGTTCATTTTCCACACTGCTGTCTCGAAGTCAAGCTCTGGCTATGAATGTTCAAGAGCTGCGATGATGATGAAGGTGGCCCTGCAGTCTACCCAGACCAGGCTACCCTGGTAAGTAGTTTGTAAACCCAGAACTCCCTACCTTTGGAGCCAACACTTCCATCTGCACTGGCTTCACAGAGGCAGTAGGTTTCAGGTGCTTGTTGACATTGGTCGTTTTGGTGGGTGGAACAGGTATTTTGGTGTTTTGAGCTTTCTACAAGGAAAAAGCAATGTGAATAGGGCAGGATGGCCAACATCACCCCTCAGCGCTCTACACAGTCAGCCCGGGGTGCATGCGTACTGTCTACACAGTTGTTACCTTAGCTGCTTGTGTGGTCCTGGTTGTAACTCGATTTCCAATTTCTTCTAAAACTGCCCGCCTGACAGTCACATGACTCTTAGGTTTGGGATTAACTCCTATGTCAATATTTTCTAGATCAGTGGAAACCTAAAAAAAAAAAAAAAGGGAAAAACATAAAGTTGAGACAATTTATAATACTTTGCTAATGTCAAATATCCAAATTCAGAATTGATTTGGGAAAGGTGAATATGCTGAGATCTATCTGTGAAAGGGAAAAATAGAGGGGACAAGTCTAAAAATGCTATGTGATTTATCGCATTACAGTAAATTAAGCAAATCACTCGGCCATCTTACCTAGGGGAAAAAAATCTAAGAGCTTCACCGACAAGTGATTATGTCTCATATAGTATACATGTCACTTACTAGAGATCCCTGCCTATTAAAGGCATCTATTTAAAAACCTTCCTAGACAGAGATGAGTAACAAATGCAATTAAGACGCAGTACTAAACAGCTGTAATAGGTCTGGCTGTTTGAAAACGAGCTGCTTAAAACCTAAACTAGCTTTGATTCTTATGCCATGCTAGAAATAATAAATGCTCCTGTAGACACGATCTTTAGAGACACAGCAGTTTACAACGAGGCTGCCATAGCATGCACTCTCTCTTCTTCTAAGGATATTTAGAAAGAAAATAGTTTTTATGAGTAAAATAGTTTTATCTCAAATTTAGAGAAAGTTGGAATTATATGAAATAAAAAAAATCGTTATTTGACCTTAATCTGCTTTAGACAGAATGGGCTTAGAAACAAAACTTGTTAGGAAAAGCAATTCACACACAAAAAGGTGTATTTTATTGTAGGTGATAAACATTTCATGGAAAAAAAACAACAACAAAACAGCATGTACTATTCCTGAGAACTGGGGGGTCCTAATCCTAAAAAAACTTTCCAACAGAGTGTTTTAATGGACTTACCAGGTCAGAAAGAGAGGTGGGGAAAAACTCAAGCCTTTCCTGAATAAAAAGAACTTGACTATGAAAGAACTTTATGGGATAGACAAAAATTACTTAACAGTTTGACTCAGACTCACAAAAGGATAGCAATTAAATACTGAATGTATTCAACCCATTAGGATTCTCAAAAGTCACACTGTTCCATTTTTCCAGCAGTTACTGTCAGTTTTTAAAAACGTGTTTTAAAGTTTAATGCTTATGGATTGAAGCCTGGTAATCTGACTAAATTAAACCCACCTGGAAGGGAAAATGGGCAGCTTTTAACTAGCCTACAGCCAGGAGAATGGAGTTCAGGTGTGCCATGGCCCTCTATTTTTCAGCAAAGAAAAAAGTAGACCCAGGCTCAATTCAAATCCATAAAAATAATCCAAAATACCATAAACACTTTGTTGTTCGCAGAGATGAAATAAATGAATTTGGACCCTTCTCTCTCAGTCTGCCACAGTGCTCCAAATTAAATGCAAAATCTCTATCACACTTGAGTAATAATTTTTTACGGTAAAAACCCATACATTAGTGAACTTAGCCTGGAAGACTTCGTGTGCAGGAGTAAATAGGAAACTCATATAGAGCGAAATGTGAAAAAAAATCTGAAAAACAGCCATAGCACTCTACAGCCTGTGAATTTCTTCCAATCCTTCCCCTCATCCCCACCACGGATCCCTTAGCTGGCAAGGAGTTTGAGAACAGAGCAGCGGAACCCCAAGAAGCTGTATTTAGCTAACTCTCGAACGACAAAGGGCCCTCGGGGATCGCTCGCCGAGTCCTCGGCCCGGCGCTCGGGAGGCTCCCGAGACAAGTGCCGGCCCCGAGGCGCTTTCCAACCCTTCCCTAGCCCCGGGGCAGAGACGGACAGGCCAGGAGCTGGACGGGAGAGCGGAAGCGAGGCGGGGAGGCCGGCCAGAGGACAGGCCGCAGGCCCTGGGCAGCCGGGACGAAGGGAAAGCGGCACGGGCTGGGATGAAGAAGCTCCGAGCAGAGGAGAGAATGAGAAGCCAGAGGCGGGCGAGGGGCTGCGCGGCCGGGGCCCAGGCCGTTGCGGGGTCGCCGGCCCACTCACCGTCGGGCGTCGGAGCAGCGCCATGAGGACCGGGACAGGCACGAGTGGCAGCCCGGCCCAAGGAGGGACGCGGACTGGAAACCAAGAGCACTATCTACCGCGGCGCGGTTAGAACTTCTCTCCCGGACCGCACCGCTGGAGATACTCGCGAAGTCGCCTAGCTCCAGGATTCAAATACCGCGCAGCTCGCGGCCCCATTGGGCGGCCCTATGTACGACGCGCTCTTCCCATTGGCTGAGCCGGAGGCATTCCCGCAGGCTGATTGGCTGAATTTTCCAGACCCGTTTGGTCGTCGTAACAACCGGTTGGGTTTTTTTTTCTGCCTACTATCTTTTAAAAAAATCTCGGCCCCTAAGATAAACAAAAATGAAATACTTCATTGGGAAAACAGACTTCGGACCCTCTGAATTTTGACAAGGCCTCAATTACGGATGTCTACGTTTATACTGGGTGGGCAGAAGTTGGTTCTAGGGAACACCCTGAAAATTGTCGTTTTTAACCTCTATTCCTCTTCCGGAAATTTCGAGTTGTAGTTTAGGTTGGGTTAGCCTGCCTGGGTCGTGAAACAGGCAGACGCCTCTGCGTGACTTAGGGCTGCACTGTGTTAGATGGTTGAGACTCAGACGTGCTTTGATGGAAACTTGAGGAGCTACAGAATGCAGAGAATATCCCAACTGACATATCAAGTTGACTTTTCAGTGGCTGCCCCAGTTCTGGGTGAAGCTCTGCCTGTTGGGTGTGCAGGCCGACTGCGATGTGAGAACCAATCCCACTCTCACACAGATGAGAGTGAGACTGTGTCTCATCTCCCTTCAGTGTGTATTCCTTTTTCAATTCATTCTTATTCCTTCCATTCCCACACCTGTCCTTTAGGAAACTTGTGCTCCCTTAGAAAATACCACCATTCCAAGACCTAACTCATTCGCATGAGCAAGTTCAGGTAACTCCACACTTTTTAATGCTCACACCACATCCAGATGGATGATCACTTACAGGTATCATTTTCTGAGAAATATTGATGATAAACTAGAAACATCCAGAAAATAGTGACAAGAATAGCTAAGAGGCTTAAGATCCAGTCCATTTCTATTTTTTAAAAATTTTGGGGGGGGGTAGATAATTAGGTTATTTTTTTGGAGGAAGTACTGGGGATTGACCCAGGAACTCCTGCATGCTAAGCATACCTCTAACACTTTGAGCTACACCCTCCCCCCTTAAGATCCAGTTTAAACAAAAGAATTCTAAGGATATTTCACTTAGAGAAAGGTGAAATAAATCAAGATAGCTGTCCTATAGTAACTGAGGAGCTAGCATATAGCAAGAAGCCAGACTTATTTTTACATTGTTCTAAAATATAGAATAGGACCCTATGGCTGAAATTAGAGGAACAAATACCAAAGGAAAAGAATGAGTGATTTTAATTGTTTACAAAAGAAATGTGCTTCTTCCACAAATGTGACCTCATCATCCCTGGAAGAATATAACCAGAGGCATGATAATTGAATTTTCCAGGTTTCTTCAGAAATACAGATAGACAGATAGGTAGGGAATCATAAAATTACGGAAGCTGACGAGGCCTACAATCTCCAGTCTGCAAGCTGCAGACTCAGGAGAGCCAGTGATGTGATTCCAGTCCAGAGGCTGGTAGGCTAGTCACCCAGGAAGAGCCCATGTCTCAGTCTGAGTGCAGAGACAAGAGAAAAACAATGTCCCAATTTGAAGACAGTGAAGAGGAGAAATTCTCCCTTACTCATGGGGTATGGGAGGAGGGGAGGTAAGTCTTTTTGTTCTATTCAGGCCTTCAATTGATTGAATGGGGCCCACCCACATTAGGGAGGGCAATAGATTCAAATGTTAATCTCATCTAGAAAACACCCCCACAGATACACTCAGAATAATGTTTGACCAAACGTCTGGGTACCCAGTGGTGCAGTCAAATTGACACATAAAACTATCACAGTAACCATCTATCAGGAATCCTGCAGAAAGAATTTCTAAATTACACGAAGATCTGGCAGTCAAAAGACCAGAAATACCTAGCTATCTCCATTCCATATGTTTCTTTTTCTCAAACATCAGTGTAGGGAAGTGAAAGTTCCTCCATCACTGATTCCCCTGATGATTACACTTGAAAAAATAGACCATTTGCACATATGCCTTCTCCATATGCTAAGCTTTGGTTTGGCGGGGGTTGGGGGGGTACTAAATGTATTCAGGAAGTTTGCACTAGGGATTCTAACAAAGCAGCGGCCCTTGCTTTACTGTACTGTGATAAATGAAAGATGGCCACACTTTTTTTGCTGCCACTTCTATCAACAGGTGTAGTCTATTTCCCCTCCCCTTGAATCTGGGCTAGCCTTGCTTTGACTAACAGAATGTGTCAGAAATGACACTGTACCACTTCCAGGCCTAGGTTTTGGGAGACCTGACAATTTCTTCTTGGAGCTCTGAGCCACCATGTAAATAAGACTAGCTATCCCTCACTAGTGAACCTACATCAAGACAAAGAAATGTCCAGTGAGTCTTCAGCTGTCCCAGCCATCCCAGCTAAAGCATCAGACATCTAAGGGAAGCCATAATGGACACTCCATTCCAGGAAAACTCCCCGCTGAATGCGGCCCCACAAAGAAAACCAGTCATATCACACTGAGATAGAGCTGTTCCTGCCCAGCCCTGCCCATATTATACAACTATGAGTAAATAAATGTCATGCTTAAGTCACTAAAATTTGGGGTGGTTTGTTACGTAACAGGTAACAGACAGATTTACTTAGGGGTATTCCCAATCCTTGCACCAAATAAGCTTTTTGTTTGCTGGAATTGTCTTGTATCTTACTAGTTTCCTATGGTGTCACAGTTTAGGAAAACATAACACAGCCGCTAGGATTTATAATTATTTGTAAACTCTGAATTCTCAGAAACATTCTTTGAAGATTTTTTGCACAGGAAACTTGAGTGCCTGAGCCATTTCCAGATGTTTTGGCATCTGGTTGCCTCCTGAGGGCACAGTTTATTTCATGCTGAACCATAGATCAGATGTAACTGAGAGACCTGGGAAGCATTGAAGCCGGTCTGATAGAATTTCTGGCCACAGAAGTCCTGATATCTGAAGACTGGGTCTTGACAAAGGGGATAAGAGGGTTACTAACTAAAAACAAAGCGTGTTTTGTTTTTATCTTTTTGTTTATTTGGGGAGGCGGTGATCAGGCTTTTGTTTATGTTAATGGAGGTACTGGAAATTGACCCTAGGACTTCATGCATGCTAAGCATGTGCTCTACCAGTGAGCTATACCTCGCCTCTCCCCACCAACTGTGGTGTTTTAAAAATATATGCACAAATTCTTGCTATAGCTTCAAATGTTGGAACTTAATCAACTCCTCTTGAGTATAGGTTATATTTAGTGACTTGCTTCTAATGAATATAATGTGGCAGAAATGAAAGAGTATATGTAACTTCCGAGATTAGATGAAAAATGTCACTGGAGAATCCTCCTTGCTCTCTCCGGGATCACTTGCTCTAGGGAAGCCAGCTACCCTGCTGTGAAGACATTTGAGCAGTCCTTTGAAGAGGCCCACATAACAAGGAAGTAAGGTCTCTTGGCCAACAGCCAGTAAGGAACCGAAGCCTCCTATCAATAGCCATGGGAGTGGACATCTTGGACAAAGATCATCCAGATGCAGCAATGACTTCAGATGACTGCAGCACCTGCTATCATCTTGACTGTAACATCATGAGGCACCCTGCGCCAGGAGCACCAAGCTAAGCTGCTCCCAAATTCCTGACCCACAGAAACTTTAGATCTTGATGTTTAAGCCACTAAGTTTCAGGGTTACCAAGCAATAGATAACTTTCACAGCAATAAATAATACAAGCATTTGGGGTTAGGGGAGCGTGTAGCTAACAATGAAGTTCTAGGAACCCAAGTCCACCACAACTTACTCTTTGAGCAAAAACTAACAGTATGGTAGTCTAGATACAGTTCAGTGAAAGACATCCATTCCTTTTAAAAGGCAGACTGGTATGCAGTGGATGGGAGACTTACCATATCTCTTCCAATTCCCTTGTCAAACACTCCTCTTATAGAGGCTCTTCAGAATCTAAAAAACAGAATCACTAAGATAACAGGTCAGAATGGAAATCTGAGTATCTTGAGCTGTGTTGTTAGACACACAGGCCATGGTAGAACCCAAATTCTTCCTTTCTAGTACACGATGTATCAATAACAATCTGTAGAATTTTACACCATCCAAAGTTTTTCCCTAAACAAACACTGAATATTACCATCTAAAGCAAAACTGACTCAGAGAGTCCACAATGAAAATTAGCAGTTAGTGAAACTAACCATTCTTTGTAGTGATAAAGGATTAAAAGAGACATGAAATTTGGGCTAATTAAAAGTTTCTCCTGGAAACCATAAAGAAGTTGTGGTGTACACATGCAGCAGAATACTACTCAGCTATAAAAAAGAATAAAATAATGCCATTTGCAGCAACATGGATGGAATTGGAGATTGTCATACTAAGTGAAATAAGCAGAAAGAGAAAGAAAAGTATCATATCACTTACATGTGAAATCTAAAAACAAAGAAAAAGAAAAAGAAAAAGGACACAAGTGAACTTATTTACAAAACAGAGACAGACCCACAGACAGAAAGCAAACTTATGGTTACTAGCGGGTAAGGGGGTTGGAAGGGATAAATCAGAAGTTTGGGATTAGCAGATACTACTATATATAAAATAGATAAACAACAAGGTCCTGTTGTATATATAGCACAGGGAACTATATTCAATACCTTGTAATGGCCTACCGTGAAAAAGAATATGAGAAGGAATATATATATATGCTGTACACCAGAAGTTAACGCAACATTGTAAACTGACTATATTTCAATTAAAAAAAAAATCTTGTCCTGGAAACCCGTAACTTCCAAATGCTCTCTCAGTCATAACTACCAGCCTATTCAAAGCCTAGAAGCAGCTAATACAACATTGACAGCTTAGTAGTGTGCTTAATTAACCCTTAATGGGCACCCAATCCCTGCATAACACAATTTGATGAGGAGTAAAATTAGGAGTGAATGAGAAATTCTAGTTGTTAATTTCTCCATGAAATTTTCTTTAAGTGCAAAGAGGTTTCAAATCTTGTGCCAATTCTGATCCAATGGCAGTTAAGTAGTTGCCTAAAA